TGTATATATTTCATATTTAATACTTATAATAATTATAATTATAATTATAATAATGCATTGTTATTTGAAACATACTAAATTTTGTTTGTCTTTCGAACTGGTAAAAGTGCCTCCTGTTTTAATATATGTTCTTTTCCATCTCTTCTATACTTGTTTTAGACACTTTGGAGATGATATCCATGGAACTTGACCTTCAAGACTTTCTAAATGTTCTGCCCGATGATGGTATTGCTGCATTCTTCTTGCCTTACCTTGTACACATAATTATAATAATGCATTGTTATTTGAAACATACTAAATTTTGTTTGTCTTTCGAACTGGTAAAAGTGCCTCCTGTTTTAATATATGTTCTTTTCCATCTCTTCTATACTTGTTTTAGACACTTTGGAGATGATATCCATGGAACTTGACCTTCAAGACTTTCTAAATGTTCTGCCCGATGATGGTATTGCTGCATTCTTCTTGCCTTACCTTGTAAACCAAAGCGAAAAAAAGCTAGTGGCTTAAATTTCCTGCTGTCTTATATCCGAACTCATGCCTTAAGTTACACCATGGAGTCTGAATTCTAAGCTGCACAACACACTACACAGCTCAAACTGAGTTTCTGTTCCATAACTCTGCATACAATAAAAATATGTCTCTAACTAGGAGTATTATGTCCTGTATGTGTCCTGTAGTGACATAGGGACCAGCAGATGGAACCACAGAACACAGGGAAGGATCCAACACCTAAAGTATGTTAGATGCTAAAAATTCTTCAGCCACAGTAGCTCTTCATGAAAACTAAGACTGGCAGCAAGGGCAACGGAACAGGTAAGTATTCTCATTTTTCTTTACATGCTAGCAAAATAGTCCCTATAAAGAAATTAAGTTTAAGGTAATATTTACTGGTTTTAGACTCCATTTCCCTACAAAGGGAACACTCTTCCCAGTATTGATATTTTGGTTATATATAGATGATGATAGCTGTAGCAAGCATGATGGATCTCCAATTGCCATTTTATATCTATGAGTCTGTGGACTCCAGAGATGAGAACTGCCCTTAGTTATCCCAGCTTTGTATGCTTTGGGGATCTTTTTGCTGCAGTATTTGTAATATAAGTACCCATTAACACATGCAATTAGAGCCGAACAGTGAATTCCTGCGCCAAGAGTCTGCAGATTCTGGGATCACAGATGTATGCAAACAGCTGCAGCCAGGATGTCTGTACAAATCCACACACATAGCCGTTATCTGTGGTTAGGGATAGATGTCTGACCCAGGATGCAATCTGTCTGCATCCACATATGAATGGGGCCTAACTATGAAAAAACAAATTCCAAAGAGGAAGAATAAGACATTTCTCCATTTGTCAGAAAAATGTGTTGGGAAATCAAGCACTGTGATCTTTGTAGCAGGTTTCCTAGAGCATATATGTAAGGCAGGTCAGCGATTCATCCCTCTGGCAACTATTCAGAAATAAACTACAGTTCTGCTTGGGCTGACCTTTTTGAATTCTCACCTTTTTTCTTGAATTCTCACCTTTTTTCTATGAGTGCTATGTCATTAGAAATAGCACTCATATGTCTTCCTGAGCTCTCCAGTATCCCTGGAGTGTAGCTCTGGCTTTTTCTGTTGGCCTATCACTGTGATAAGTGGATTCACTGACCAGTAGTAAGGAAGGAGGGGCAGAACCTGACTCGGCTCCGGGATTTGAAATCATGTAATTTGGGCACCAGGGAGCATATCAGAATGTGAAGGTTATAAGGCAACCAGATACCTTTGCAAAGTCTGTTCCCATGATAAAGTTTGTTGACAATAAACAACATTATAGAATGACACAATGACAAGTATGAGTGAACTACTGAGCAACCTTTGATCACAAACTAGGGACAGGACACCCTGGAAAAAAAACAAGTCTATATGGTCCTCAGGATTTAGCTCTGACATTATAGCAGTTGATCAGTCCTTTCTGGGTACACTCAAAGAAAAACCTCAAGGGAGGGATTTAAACTCACTCTTTCTAGAGGAGTGTATAGCATCTGAGTACTATATTATTGCTAACAATTTTCAGATATTTATGAACAAACGTTTGACAGCCATAAACCCTAACAGGTTTTGTGGATTAAATCACCAAAAATTAGTTACAGTGATCTGGCAGAAATCATCTCCATAATCCTATTTTATTGATTTTAAAAAGAGTAATTGACCAATAAAAACCGGCAATGGGTCCTCTGTTCCGGGGTGATGTTGAGTTTCAGATTATATCCAGTATAAAACCTATTTAAAAAAGTTACATACTGTAGATTAATACTTTTCCAGAGAACCTGTATTGTATTAAAGTACATTTATACATTCATAGTTGGTATATACATCTCTCTGACAGGTTGGTTAGTTTTCTCTACTACAGATTACATATTTGTAATAGAGTAAGGATTAGTAATAAGTAAATCGGCAAAATTCCGTTCGCACAAAATTTGTCAGCTAGAAAAAAAATTAGATTGCGTTGACGTCAATGATGGGGCATTTTTTTAAGGTCGCTTTTGGTCCTTTGCAGGGCTACTAGGTTATTGTCCCCAAAATAGAATGGGCCCATTAGGTGTTCTTTTATTTGTTTGTGGGTGTAGTTTGTTGTTATTCATGGTGTTTTAGACAGAAGGTGTGAAAATACAACCTTAAAAAATGTAATGAGACAGGTACATTGTAGGTCTTGTTTTTTTTTTTTTTTGGGGGGGGGGGGGGGGGGGGGGGGTTGTGTATTAACAGTACAATACATGAAAAAAATAAGTTACACAATTCAGAAAAAAAGCGGCCTACCAAATGCAGCCTAAGAGCTGCATGTGGTTGTTCTTTTTTTTTGTGTAACCCTTGGATTCCAGCAGCCAGTTGTTTAGTGTTTTTCTCCGCATAAGTTCTTACTTAAAGGAGAGGGAATATTGGGCTTCCCCTGTTGCTCTGTGTCATGAGGCTTGTTACGTAGGGAAAGCCTGGGTGCCTCACCTCACTGTTTGCTGGATCCAATGCTGAAGAGGAAGTCTGCCTCATGGTACTTCAGTAGGATTGTTGGCCAAGTGACAACATCACCAGAGGAAGTGGTGGTTCACACCTTGGCGTTTTACAGCGCGTTCCTGCGCTCTGTAAAACGCTCAACATGTGAAAACCAATGATTGCCTATGGGCATGGTTCCCACCTGGGCGTTTTACAGCGCCTGGGAACACGCTGCAAAACGCCCTACGCCCAAAGAAGTACAGAAGCTTCTTTGGGGCGTATTTGCCGCGCGTATCCATTGGGATACAGCCAGGTAGCCCTCGGAAACGCACGTTTTTTACCACGAATCGCGGTAAGAACGCGCGACAAACGCACATATTCGATACACCTATGTGTGAACCCAGCCTTAGTGCAGGTATTTTTGTCTATCTGAGCTCCTGTGTCACAAACGGGGGCAGAAGCTGTTGTTCATCCTTATATTGAGGATTTTGGCTGTGCATCAGTTGTTTTTGGTATGCTAATGTAGGTATGCTGCTTTGTTAGCACCCATCTGCATGTGAGTGGATATTCGGTATTCCAGATTACTGTGGTGACCGAACAATCGAATAGGCTGAATCTGCAGCCAATGACTGATGCACAGTACACGTTTTTTTATGAGGATCATTTGTTGATGTGTTTGACTGTCTGTGTTATGAACTTGGTGTGGCTCTATATGAGCCTGCGTTTGTGAGTATGTGGTATTGCATTATGGTTTTATGCTGATTAATAATACTGCATAAGGAAGAGGTGCTCTGTTTTTCCTTTAGGTCTTAGGATTTACATTAAGACCTGGGCAATACATTTTAAGTTAGACAGATCTGAAAGTTTTTTTTGTTTGCTTTTTATCACATAATACATTATTTTCTGGGTATATTCTACTTACTCTATCTTTTACAGTGTACACTGTCACCATTCCAGCATATAGATGGTCATCCACATGGCAGTGCAAAAGCCATGTTCCTGGTCTCCTAGCTATCATTGAAGCAGTTTGGAAAGTGCCAGGAAGAAGTTCAAATATATCTGTCTGGAGTTTGCGGCCCCTCTACATAACAGAAAATGAGCAATGGGTTAATGAGTAGGTTTGCATGTCCTGTACTAAAACTTCCATAACTTCCATGTTCCATAATGGAACATGAAACCATCATTTTTAATGCCAGTTGGAGGTTATCCATACATATATAAACAACATCCTGCTTTCATAATATGCAAGGTGATAATGTCACAGAAATATGCCTAGGCATGATGGAGCTGACTTATTGAAATCACAGAAAAGGAGAGCATCTGCATTCCCACAATACGTTAGACATTTCATTGGCATAGTTTGAAGCTGAATACGAAGCAAACCGATATAATACATGGCTAGTAGAAATTACAGTCATGTGAAAAAATAAGCATTTTATAAAATATTTGAACAAATGACATATAAAATTGACCTGGTGTATTTTATTTTCATGATCTAAATAAGCATGTATGCAGATTTGTAATATGGAAAAAGTAAGTACACCCCTACATTTACCACCACTTCAAAATGAGAAATTGGTATTCCAGAGTAGGCAGGTGGAACCTGTGACATACGCCCAGCCCAAACCCGCTGTACTTCAATCACGCATAACTATACACAGTTCTGAACCGAGCGTGGCGTCACAAGGACGTGACAATACCACTCTCAGCCTCACCCTGCACAGAGATTCCCAAGGTCAGGCTAGCAGACTGAGTGCGATCATTACCAGGGTTGGTTAACTCCGCAGTTAACCCTTCACCCACCAAACGTTCGCTGCCACCAGGTGTTTTTTAACGGAAACACAGACCAAGCCCAGCAAGTGCTGTGACAATTTAAAACACTTAAACAATGCCTGTGATACCGCTGTCCTCTCAGACAGGAATATGACAGGATTCACTATACAGTAGCGCTCTCCACAGAGGCAAGGATAATTTTAAGTTTGTATTTTAAGCGTAGAGATAAGCTTAACGATTTTTAAGATCGTCCTTTAATAAAAGAAACCGTGCAGAAAATATACTGAAAAAGATATTAATAAAAAGGAGACAAAATATATATACAACAGAAAAATAAAAGTGAATAAAGGTAATACTTAACAGTCCTGGTTTTAGGAGTTCTGACAGAGTTCAGAGCTCAATAAGCAAAAGAGAAGTCCGAAGGGCTCTTCTTCAAGCAAGCTTTCAGCAGATGATGTCCAGAGATTAAAGGGGAACTCTTCCGCGATGTTAAGACTTCTTGATGTTACTGGAGTTCCTTTCTGGATGTTTCTTTCTTGATGTTTCACAACAAAAGCCCACTCTAGTCGCCTAGACAACATATTTTTTTTAGCCCTTTAGGGGGGTTTCACAGAACCGGCCCCTAGGGCAGGGCTGGGGATGGAAAGCAGGAGGAGGATGAACCTTTATTTTATATTATCACTCCCCAACTCTGAATTATGAACTGGAGCTGAAATTGTAACTCGGGTTTATGACTTTTGGGTGAATGCGGGGTCACCTGGGTCATTACCTCTACCAGACCTGCTTGATTATATTAACTTGCCCACTGGTGAAAGATGAATGCCTGGTGACATGCCTTTTAAAGGAGAACTATGAGGTGAGTGCTTTTCACTCCCCTCATAGTTCCAGCCGACCTGTGACAGTCTCATTGTCACGGGTCGGCTGGAACTATGAGGGGAGTGAAAAGCACTCACCTCATAGTTCCAGCCGACCTGTGACAGTCTCATTGTCACGGGTCGGCTGGAACTATGAGGGGAGTGAAAAGCACTCACCTCATAGTTCCAGCCGACCTGTGACAGTCTCATTGTCACGGGTCGGCTGGAACTATGAGGGGAGTGAAAAGCACTCACCTCATAGTTCCAGCCGACCTGTGACAGTCTCATTGTCACGGGTCGGCTGGAACTATGAGGGGAGTGAAAAGCACTCACCTCATAGTTCCAGCCGACCTGTGACAGTCTCATTGTCACGGGTCGGCTGGAACTATGAGGGGAGTGAAAAGCACTCACGTCATAGTTCTCCTTTAATTAGAGACAGCTATAAAGGCTTAGAGAGTTATTTAGGACTTTCACTAGGGCAGGGGGAATAAAGATCAAAGCCAGATAAGTATACATTATCTCTGTTCTGTGGAAGGCCTGGCAAATGACTAAATGAAGGCCTGCATTTGCTCAAACTGGGGGACAAAAGAATGCTATTTTTAATATTCAGACTCGGACCCCCATTATCGTCACAGAACCTATATTATTTAAACCTCAGACATCTAGGGTCTGGTGTTCTCTTTGCTATTTACATGTGTGGTGTCATCATACCAAGATCAAAAGAGTTCTCTAAGGCTCTCACAAATAAAAGTCTGGCAAGTAATTTAAAAGGATGAACAAATTATTTGAACTCAAATATTCCACTGTAGGGAAAATAATTTACAGGTGGCATAGATTTCAAATAAATGCTAATTTGTCCAGGACTGAAAATTGAACACAAGTGCTGACCATTTAATGCTAAATGAAGTCTCCAAGAACCGCAAAAGTTCATTGCAGGGTACCTCTCTTGTAACTCTTGCAGGGTACATTACAACTATAATCAAAGATATTCAACCTGCATGAGAGGCATGGTAAGAAAAAGCCTTTGCTGTCCAAAAAGAACATTAGAACAAGATTACAGTTTGCCATTGAACCTATAGGAAAAGACCAGGTCTTTAGGAACAATGTTCTGAAACACTGATCAATCAAAGGTAGAGTTGTTTGGCCACAGCAACAATTGATGTGTTTGATACAAACCAAATGCAGCATTTGGAATGCAGGAGATGAACCTCAAACCAACAATGAAGCATGGTGGTGAAAATGTTTTGGGGATGCTCTGCTGCTTCGGGTTCTGTATAATTCTGCATGGCAAAGTGATCAAAAAGTTTACGGAGTCGATGTCAGATACTGGTGTGCAGTTATACAAGATGCCTTCAAGAAATCAATTCTGCTTCAGGGGCAATAAAAGCTTTTGAGGCCAATAGTGTACATACTATTTCCAGATAAAAAGGCACATTTAAACTGTTTTCTTATTTAAAAGAGAACTATGGGGGTAACCTTTTTTTCCCCATAGTTCTCTTTAGGGTCATGGGAGGACATATACTAATGTCCTCCCATGACCCAAAACTCAGTGTATAAAGCAGGCTATTGCCTGCTATATGCTGAGAGTGCCACAGCCAGGACGGATCCCGACAATACTGTCGAGATCCACCTCGCTGGCTGATTAACAGTGGGCTCTGCCTATCTAGTGGCCGAGCCAGCCATGCCCGCCCCCTCCCATTGTCCGTCCCTCCAGTCAGGGCTGGAGGATCGGAGAGGGGGGAAACCCGGCGGGGAGCCGTGACAGGAAAGTGAGCAGAGCGGCAGTATGTTTTCACTCACTTCCGATCAATAGAGCCAACATGTGATAGTTTAAATGTCACACGTCGGCTCTAACTATGGGGATGAGTGTAATTCACTCACCCCATAATTATTTAAGTATATCATCTTTATGTGTAGAAACTGTTTATATGAAGATCTACTGTTTGTCTGTTCAAATATGATGAAAATGCCAACAATTTCCATGGGGTGTATGTATTTTTCACATGACTGTATATTGAACTGAACACATGTTTCTTTTTATCCCAACAGCTTCTCTGTTTCTTTAGAGTACCTAGAACATTCCCAGGCATTTACAGTCATACTGGTAAATCAGTCACCTTAACCTAATCACAATAGGCTGTGTCTAGGTAGTTGTTAATTGGAAAAAAAAAAAAACATGATGGGAGGTGTGACATTTTGTGAAGCCACCCTGGTCTAATTATTTAATCCAATCACACTGTGCCATGAAGTTTGGGACACAGGTAATTAACTAAGTTAAATGGCTGAAGGTGTAAATCATCAAATCACTAGGGGAAAATATGTTAAAACGATTATAAATGGGTGAACGATGCTGTTGAAGGTCTGGCCCCTCTGTTTAGGAATGGTTTTTCCAGATGGTGTCTTCTACACCTCTTGCAAACCAGTTGTCCTCTCTGTCAAAATGAGCACATTACTGTCTTCAAAAGAATGTCCCTTTTCCTTAAGTAGGTAGACTGCTGAGCACTAATTTTCAGAATCCACCCTTCTATACTGGGTCATCTATTTGTTTTGTGTCCTAAATACACAAGTCTTTGTATTCCTCACTACACTGGATTGCATATACTAAGGTACTTCACTTGTATTGGTATTAAGCAAGGTTTGTGCTTTTAAACCTTGTGGGTACCACAGGCTTTGAAGTTTTGGTTGAATTGCAACCTTTCTCTTCTGTAACTGTAACTCATAAAATGTGTACTTTATGGATTTTGGCTCCTATTGACGGCAGCACACACGCCAAAAATTATAGATGTACAAACTCCAGCCCATGCATTAATGCAGCTTAATTAACCTGGTGTGAATGAGTCCTATATCTCACATTCCTGCTCTTGGGTCCCCATCAGATTGATGTCAGGTGTTTTGTGTATTTTCGATAAGCATTATCACACTTACCAAGTCAACTTACAGCACAGCTGCTATTATCAACTTTAGTCAGTAAACACATTATTAAAACTGAAATAAATAATGAAAAGTAGTTTTGTCCAAATCACAGTAAATGTGGTTACCGTAAATTTCATGCTGTGGCCATGCCAATGTGCTGTGTGTATATCCACTTCATTCCCCATACCCATGACGTGCCAGACCACATGATCCCCAACATTCATAATCAGTTTTGTGTTGCCATACATTCTTCCATTGATACCTGTAAGAAAATCCTCAGGAGTCAAATAGCGGTGTGATTATTTAGTCAATGAATTAGCACTACTGTTGGATGAGACCCAATAAAGCAATGCAGTGTTTTGGTGTTTTTACATATAAGCAGACATACCCGATGTTCTCTGTCTTACTGGAAATGGCTGTAGCACTGGATTCTTAACTGTCAGTGAGCTGAGAGTACCCCTCTATAGTGAGGAATGAGTATAGCTCATTTTCAGTTTTGAAAACTATGTACTTATAAACAACTCCGGTAATGTGGTTATATACCCTTTACAAATCTGTTATACCAGTTCAGTTATGGCCCTATTGATTTGCCAATACTTGCAATACCAGAGTGGTGTGTGTGTGCTTTTATTAAGACAAACGTGGCTTTGTTTTAGTGTTATTGCAAGGTGTTACAGGAAACCAATATAAAGGCAAAATCTAGGTATATGTACCAGGTGCATTACAGGTAACTACAGTCGTGGCCAAAAGTTTTGTGAATTACACAAATATTAATTTTCACAAAGTCTGCTGCTTCAGTTTGTATGATGGCAATTTGCATATACTCCAGAATGTTATGAAGAGTGATCTGATCAATTGCATTTCAGCTCTGCCACAAAAGGACCAGCTGACATCATGTCAGTGATTCTCTCGTTAATACAGGTGTCAGTGTTGATCAGGACAAGGCTGGAGACCACTCTGTGATGATGATTGAGTTAGAATAACAGACTGGAAGCTTTAAAAGGAGGGTGGTGCTTGAAATCATTGTTCTTCCTCTGTTAACCATGGAAGCATGTGCAGTCATCATTGCTTTGCACAAAAATGGATTCACAGGCAAGAATATTGCTGCTACCAAGATTGCACCTAAATCAACCATTTATCGGATCATCAAGAACTTCAAGGAGAGAGGTTCAATTGTTAAGAAGGCTTCAGGGCACCCAAGAAAGTCCAGCATGCGCCAGGGCTAAAGTTGATTCAGCTGCGGTATTGGGGCACCACCAATGCAGAGCTTGCTCAGGAATGGCAGCAGGCAAGTGTCAGTGCCTCTGCATGCACAGTGAGGCGAAGACTTTTGGAGGATGGCCTGGTGTCAACAAAAGCAGCAAGGAAGCCACTTCTCTCCAGGAAAAACTTCAGGGACAGACTGATATTCTGCAAAGGTACAGGGATTGGACTGCTGCGGACTGGGGTGAAGTCATTTTCACAGATGAATCCCCTTTCCGATTGTTTGGGGCATCCCAAAATACCTTTGTCCGGAGAAGAAAAGGTATGTGCTACCATCAGTTCTGTGCCATGCCAACAGTAAAGCATACTGAGACCATTCATGTGTGGGGTTGCTTCTCAGCCAAGGGAGTGGGCTCACTCACAATTTTGCCTAAGAACACGCCATGAATAAAGAATGCTACAAAAACATCCTCCAAGAGCAACTCCTCCCAACCATTCAAGAACAGTTTGGTGACAAACGATGCCTTTTCCAGCATGATGGAGCACCTTGCCATAAGGCAAAAGTGATAACTAAGTGACTTGGGGAACAAAACATCAATTTTTTTTGTCCATGGCCAGGAATCTCCCCAGACCTTAATCCCATTGAGAACTTGTGTTCAATTCTCAAGAGGCGGGTGAACAAAAAACCCCCCACAAATTGACAAACTCCAAGCATTGATTATGCAAGAATGAGGTCTTGAATAAGGAGGGTCAACACTGCAAATATTGGCTCTTTGCATAAACTTAATGTAATTGTCAATAAAAGACTTTGACACTTATGAAATGTTTGTAATTATACTTCAGTATACAATAGTAACATCTGACAAGAAGATCTTAAAACACTGAAGCAGCAGACTTTGTGAAAATTAATATTTGTGTCATTCTCAAAACTTTTGGCCACGACTGTACATCCATTTTAAAAAAAAATATGAATTGGATTATATGTTTTTTTTTTTTTAAATCGTGTAGTATTTGGAGTTAAACAATTAAGGCAATTAATAATACAAGTATTTTGTTCCCTAAAAACTTTCGCTCCATTGTTATGCATATCCTACTGGCAGCCAGACACCTCATCGCTAGCTCATGGAAATCACCTATTGCTCCTTCTTTACAAGAAACTATATATCGTGGGGATGGGATGCATGGCTGGATCATATGGAAAATAGGGTACCACCTTAGACATGAGTTCTTGCTTTAGCAATACGTCCGTTCCTCAGGATGAAGTCCAATATTAGATATGTTACCATTTTGAGAAAATAAAAGCATCGTGATGTAATACTTGCCTACCTATACCACTGACAGTTGAGAGATATTACATTACCTTCCCCCCCCTCCCCTGTCTATGGCCTTGCCTTATTCATTCTATAACCCACCTCAAGCCTATACTCCTATCTGTTTTACTAGTAATTTATAATGATTTCGCATTTTACTTGTTTTACTAGCACACTGTATTGATGTTGCAAACTCATCTTTGTAACATGTATAATAAGGGCAAAGGCATGTATTTTTATTTTCCATTTCCTGTCATTTATGTATTTCCTTGGAAAAACAAAAAATTAAGAAAATATTTAAAGTAAAAAAAAAATAATACAAGTATAACATTGATTATGACTAATTAGGCGCAACTACTTTAACTCCCTTCCAGCTATCCATTTATTACCAATACCCAGCGCGATGCCCCATACCAGGGATACTTTAATAAATGTTGCAGCTTTGAGAGCCAGCAGCAAACATTTTTGCAGCAGCTGGCTCTCAATCCCAGCAGTCACTGACAACTGGGATCCTCACTGATGGCTGGGAACCACCAAATTAGTGGTGACCCCAGCAGTCAGTTGTGAGATAGTGATTGCCCTGCCTTTGAGTTATAAATTGTCCTGTACATTTTCTCACAAACTCAAAAACAGCCTAGGATTTTTGGGGATGGCAGTGTGGCACAGAAAATAAACAAAAACTAAAGAAAAAACTATTATAACTATCGGTGCCAATACCGAGTATTTGGGCGAGTATTGCTCCATTACCAGGAATTTCCGGTCAGAGGAAGATTTCCTCTGACCGGCAGTGCCCTAGGGGAACATGGAACCAGCTTCCCGTGTGATCAGGAAGTTGGGCGGCGAGTAATGACCTGCCGGCTTCCTGATTGGCCAGGAAGGTGGCTCCATGCTGATTGGCCAGGAAGCAGGCTTCACGGCCAATCGGCATCAAGCCAGCTGAACAGCCAGCTCCATGCTGATTGGCCAGGAAGTCGGCTTTCCAGCCAATCAGCATGGAGCCGGCTTCCCAGACAATCAGGGAGGCGGGTCCTTACTCGCCAACCCGGCTCCCTGAATGGCCAGAAAGCCGGCTCGATGCTGATTGTCCGGGAAACCGGCGCCCCAGCCAATCACAATCTGACCATGCAAACAACATGGAGCTGGCTTCCCGGGCAATCAGGAAGCCGGGCGGCATGTCATTACCCACCGCCCGGCTTTCTGATTGCCCGGGAAGCCTACTCCATGCCAGCGGAAGCACCGGTATCGGTACTTGGTATCAGCGAGTACCGAAAGCAAAGTATCAGTACTCCTACTCGATCCCGTAAAACCGGTATCGGTGCATCCCTGATTATAACATTTATGTTTACAATTTTTATTGGCTTCATTTAAATCTGTGTGTTCATGGCACAATTCTGACAGGTCCATTCAGCTAGCATTTCAGGTTTTATTTTTTGCTAGGGATAAGTAAAACTGAGAGTTTTAATTTCCCCAAAAACTAAATTAAATAAAAAGCTTAACTACCTTAAATACATCCCTCCCAAAAACACACCCTCCAAATAAATAAAAAAAATAGATATTTTGTTTAAGGAAATTAGCCTAAGCAGCTCAATAAGCAAAACCAGTTTCAACTCAAAATCACATGGCTCATCTCTAAATTTAGATCATATGGTGTCTGCTGAATACAACTCAAAGCAGTATGCACTGAGCTATATTCATAAGCCCACATGTAGATTTTTGTATTTTGTATTTTTGTAATAGTTTTGTTTAAAAGCTGAATGCCAAGCAAACAGCTACATTCACAGATGAACTACATAGGAGGGAGTTGTTTTACCTGTCAATGGATTTACATTTCTATCCATTCAATCCTAAAGCTTTCATAGCTCTGCCACGGATATCACCACTTTCTCTGTTACAGCTAAGACCCCTGCCATGAGCCTGCTGATTCAACAATAAAGGTAAAGTACAGCAGTAGACTTGCGGGGACATTTCTCTATTCTCTCCTTGTGTTAGCTTGTTCCTTTTCAGCATATTTGCATGCAGCAAACTGGCTCCCTTTCAAGGGTTAATAGATAAAATGAACCCTTGCAGTGGGGCTACCCTTGCACTGCGAGGGTTAACTGCTGGCTTAGGTTCAGCAGTGAAAATAAAGAAAAAATACTCACCGGATCCTCAGTCCTGTGGCAGTGATCTCTGTCCCACCCTGCTCTGGCTGTGGTATGTCCCTCGCCATCCTCACATCAAATAGACCTGTAGTAGACATGATGGTGTCACAGGTCCTTAGACCACCGGAACCCGGGGAAGGACAGGCTGCGAGTACAGGTCTATCAGCCAGGTGGGACTGAGGATCAGGTGAGCATATTTTCTTTATTTTTGCTCCTAGACCTTAACAAGCTGTTAACCCTTGCAGTGCGGTGGTAGCCCCACTACAAGGGTTCATTTTTCTAAAACCTGGAGTTCTTTTTTAACAAGGCTCCATTTATACCTGCTAGTGTGTAAACAAGAATATCAATTCGGTGTATTTTTTTGTGCATTTGTCATGCATCCAATTTTTTATTTTTTTAAAAACTAAATCAATTTTCTTATTAACATAAAACAATTTACAGAGAACCGCAGTTAAACACGGAGTCAGGTAAAAGATGCCAAATGGTGCTGGTACTTCACAAAGATCATGTCGATACACGTAATCAATACAGTGATTATGTGTATTGACAAATATGCAGAATGCACAAAAGAGGTTACGGGTGTGAGCTTAGTAGCATAAACATCACAGTAATACAAACATTTGGAAAGTGCATAAGTATACCTCTGAAAGGGGTTCAGTTTACAGATAAAAAATTCAAAAGAAAAAATATTGCAAAAACACGTGGGCAGGAACAGAAAGGGGAGAAAAAGAGCAACAGCAAAGGAAAGAGGGCAAAAAAAAGGAGAACCAAATAACAGAGTGGTAGGATGGGGAACCAGTTGCTCGGAATAACTGTAAAGAGAAACCGTTATGGGGAGGTCACGTAGAAAAGTAAAAAGTTCTCAGTACCACCACATAGGGAACCTAAGGCCAATCAGGAAGGGAGGTCAGAGGCCGTCACACTTAAGTATGGGTCTGTGGTGGTGTAAATAGGCCAAGGTCTCCACGTGTCACAAAATCGTTCTTCAGTATTGTGGATCATGGAGGTTAGAGCCTTCATAAACCAAAACCTCAGCAAAGGCACTCGGTATGACTTCCAAAGGGAGGGGACACAAGCCCTAGCGGCATTGAGCAGGTGTATTGAGAAGAAGGATTTGTATTTCAATGCAATTATTTCAATGGAATGCCCTATTAGCGACCAAAAAGCTTATGTAGTTTTGCACATTTTTTTGCTGCAACTTTTTGCATGTTTGTCATGTGATTTAACATGCACAAAAATGCATGTCTTGCTTGAAACGTTTGGGGTGCTATTAACAATAAATGGCACCGCAAGCGAGACACATCTTTTGCGCATATCTTGGACACATACAAAACCGCACAGTTATGCATGCTTTCAAACATGTGGCAAGTGTGGATGTTGCCTAACAGTACTCTTCTTTTTATTATCTCTTTTCACTTGAATGTGGATGCTATATGTGTCTAAAAAGAAAAGCCCTGGTCTTTTGTGAAAGTCCAAATGTCAACCATACAATGTATTACAGGTCATAGATATTTCCTTAGTAGTTTGGCGTTGTATCTGTAAATTTACAAGCGGGCTGGACATTTGCTTTGTCTTCAAGATAACATGCACATGTAAAAATCCATTAGAAATGAAAAACCTAGCCATATACAGGAAGAAAGTAAAAAAAATACATACTGTGCATCATATTGCTTTCTCTAAATGCATCACTATTTTTGTCCACTTCACTGGGATTCAAGCAATATTTTTGGATATTTTCATCCAGATACCAGGACTTATTTTCATCAAACACCATAAAAAGTAGAACTAATCTTAAATCTGGTGCCTCCAATTGATTATATGATCTTTTACAAACCACAATAGTTCCAATCAATCCACTGTACGTATCCTATGGAAAAAAAATAGATGTTTTAGCTTCTTTTTTCAGTTGTAAGACCTTGTATTCACAAATCTCCACCATAGATTGTTTCTTATAAGGTCCCTTTCAGGGCCTGTGCACACCATAATCTGACCGGAAATGTAAGTAAACTGATGTCCATTGACTTGCAATTTCAACTTACGATGCGTTGCCTTTTTAAAAAAATGTTTGCTAATCTTTTATATTTTAATTAACATATCATGAGTGGACAAACTTCTTAGTTTTTTTTGTTACTGCCATTCCGTTACATTGTGTTGACATCTGTTTTTGACGCATTGCGTTATATTGCGCTGAAAAAAAAAATAGAGCATGCTCTGCTTTTTCTTCATCACACTGCAACAGAACTCAATGGATCACAGCGGTGTGAACTGGTCCCATTCACAGCCATACATTTTTTGTGCTACCTTTCCTTGGCACCTATTGACATCCACTGAAAACTGATTCAGTGGGTCCTCTAATGAACGTTGTCTGTTCCGATCATCGGGATCCATGCACAGCTCCCCTACTGATCAGAGCAGTTGGGAACAGATGTTAGTAGCAGATGTCTCAGTTCTGTCTTTTTATTTCCCAGACCTAGATGGAGTTGGGGGTAATCGAATGTAAGAAGACACATGTCCGATTAGATCCGGCTGCCTAAGGACTAATATTGGGCTTCTGATCAGATCCACCTGAAAAACTGACAGACGGACCTGATCAGACTACCTGTCTGAAAGGGCCTAAAACATATGGGCATTATTTTTCACTGATAGATGGCCATAGGTAGGAACTTTCTGGAAAAGACCTGGCAATACCGGGAATTCTTTATCTGGCTGCCGGGTCATACCGGAAGGTTTACATCTCCAGAAAATCATTTATTCCAGAGATGTAAACAAAAGCAAAGTACAGTGTGCATGAGTCACACACACTGTGATTTGATTTTTACACTGGGAGGAGGACTGGGAAGGAGGAGGAGCAGGAGAAGCAGTAAGTGGGAGCTGAAAGAGCAGTAGGTGGAAAGAGAAGCACTGGGACATGCAGAAGGAGCTGGAGGGAAGAGTAGAATGAGTCTGTCATATAAATTATGCTATCACACAGGGGGCCGCACATGGATAGAAACTTGATAGACGCCCTTTCCCCACGATGTACAGGAATGTTGTGGCTGGAGTTTCCAATTAAAGAATTTTTTTTAGTGATGTACGATCTAAATGTTACATAAAAACAGAATTTGTATTGCTGTCTTTGAGTATAAGCAATCCTCATTCCTGTGACTCCCTGTCACTAGCACAAGTTGTAAGGGGTAATAACTCCAATAGAAACACAGATGGCAATAAAAAAGCATTCAGAACTTAACACTTTTTCCACATATAACTAAGACAAAACAAAGTTTTGATTTGATTGTCAATTTAACTCTGATGGCTAATGGTGGCCATACATCACTTGATCCTAGCCTCATTTGGGCATCTCTTCTCGTAATCAGGCTGTGTAGGACTGCCCCAGGGAGCAATACTGAGCTCCTAAGTTTTAGAGACATTTTTGTAAAGAGTTTCTAACATTTTATAATTAGTCAAGTTACTGAAGCAATAATTTCTCTATGCAGTTGTTTGTCAGTAAGAAAATGGGATGCAATCTGAAATTTGTTCCAATTTACAGGAAACGTTTACCTCGTCTACATGTGTTTGGTGATCATTTTGTGGTAATCTAAAATATTACATGTGTAACAAAAGACCAGCAACTGTAGGTCTAGTGTTAAAGTGACACTAAACTTAGAAGGTACATTTTAAAATTGCATTCAAGTACCCTAACTATTAACAAAAATGTACCTTATTTGTGTATCACTCTGCTGTAGATTCTCAAATCATCTCTGAATTGGTGCTGACACTGTCCTTTCTTCTGCTGTCCTTCCTTCTGGAGGGTGGCTTCATTTCCCTGTTCCCTGTGTGTGCTGTAAAAGAGCCACCGCTCTAACCTCACTCCTGTGCTCGACTACAATCTCAATACAAATGAGTTGACTAATGGGACCATGGGGAACAAAAGTAACCACCCTATCACGTACCTGAGGCTGAGACTGGAAGATGGGGAGGCGTCTCTTGCGAATCGTGTCCTGCGACCCCTGGAGTTGGGAATAGAAGGGTGCAGGGCAACGAGGAGCACGAGTGCCGTAGGCTGGAAACACCCACTGCGTGGCGACAACAGTGAAGAGAAGTCAGGAAGCCAAGGTCAAATCCGGTCGGGCAGGCGAGGTACAAAATCGTAAGGCAAACTCAATATCCAGGAAACAAGCCGAGGTCAGGGGCTGGCAGCAAGCAGAGAATAGTCCAGAGCAATCCGAGTCAAGGCAGGCTAAAGTAACAGATACAGAACACAGGCACAAACACTAAGCTGACAAGACCATCAGCAATGCCAGAGAGGCTGGCTCCTCCTTTTATAGTCCCAAGGCTCACAGACAGCTACCTCACTTCCTGTGCGTTTTCCGCGATTCCCGCGCATGCGCAGTTTGCCGCGATTCTCGCGCATGTGCAGTTTGCCGCGATTCTCGCAGTTTGCAATCGTGCCTTTACAGTGCCCCCCCCTAATGGGCAACCTCTGGATGCCCAATCGGGCTGCAGTGAGAGGATGAGTCTGAAAATACTTTCAAACCAGCATTTGAGCGTGAACATTGGAATCAGGTTCCCAGGAGTTTTCTTCAGGACCATAGCCCCTCCATTTGACCAGAAATTGAAGATGACCGCCACGACGTCTGCAATCCACTATAGCCTCTAACTCAAACTCCTCTACCCCATCAACAACAGAAGGAGCTGGCGGGCCAGGGCCACGACCAGAAAAAGGATTAGGAACATGCCGTTTGAGCAGGGACACATGGAACACGGGATGTACCTTAAAAGAGGATGGTGATTCCAATTCGTAGGCCACCGGGTTAATCTTCCTCCGAATTCGAAAAGGGCCAAGGAATTTAGGAGCCAGCTTCTTAGAGGGACAGGAGAGCCGTAAGTTAAGGGTAGAAAGCCACACACTATCCCCAGGCTGGAGATCCAGCTCGCCCCTACGTTTCCGATCATAATAGGTCCTGTGATCACGCTGAGCTTTGGCGATTGCCGTCTGCAATACTCGTGTGTTGGACCGCAGAAACTGCATTCGGTCCTGGACCGCTGGAACCTGGACGGTGGAGCAGAAGGTAAGTAAGAAGGTAGGGTGAAATCCGAAGTTTGCAAAGAACGGGGATTGAGACGTGGCGGAATGAACAGAATTGTTGTAAGCGAACTCAGCAAATGGGAGCAAGGACACCCAGTCGTCTTGAGAAAACGAGAGGAAGCACCGGAGATATTGCTCCAACGTTTGATTGGTGCGCTCTGTCTGGTCATTAGTCTGTGGATGGTACGCTGTTGCACCGGAAGACGCCCGTCTCAACTGGGATTTCAAGTCATCTTGCAATAAGAGAAAACTGTGGGCAGGCAACACCGCCACCGGTGGACTCGACTCCTCCCCCTCCGGGTACATGCGGGACAAGGCATCGGGTTCGATGTTCTTAGACCCCGGGTGGAAGGTAATGTGCATTGAAAAGCGGGAGAAAAACAGCGCCCATCGGGCCTGGCGAGGCCGAAGCCGCTTTGCCGACCGTAGGTACTCCAAGTTCTTATGATCAGTAAAGACCAAAATAGGATGAGCAGCCCCTTCCAACAAATAACGCCATTCTTCTAGAGCTGCTTTAATCGCCAGCAGTTCACGATCACCCACATCGTAATTTCGTTCCGCAGGGGTAAGTTTCCGGGAAAAAAATGCCACAGGATGGAGTAAGGATCTTTCGCCCTGTCGCTGGGACAGGATAGCTCCGACCGCAACCTCTGAGGCATCTACCTCAAGAACATATGGCAGAGTCGGGTCAGGATGTTTCAAGATTGAGGCAGAGGTGAACAGTTTCTTGAGGTCGTCGAAGGCCATCTGGGCCGAAGGGGTCCACTGGAAATGTGTGTTCTGCTTGGTAAGCTGCGTAATGGGACTAATGATCGTCGAAAATTTTTTGATACATTTTCGGTAGAAATTTGCAAACCCCACAAAGCGTTGGACACCCTTGCGAGTGACGGGGGTGGGCCAGTCCAAAATGGCAGCCAGCTTTTGAGGATCCATGGCAATGCCCGTGGTTGATATGATGAGACCCAGGAATTGGACAGAGTCCTTTTCAAATTCGCACTTCTCGGCTTTCACGTGTAATTGATGTTTTCGGAGTCTCCGTAATAGTTCCAGAACATGCGTCCGATGTAGGTCAAGGGAGGATGAAAAAATCAAAATGTCGTCTAGATAGACCACCATAAATAGATCCAAAAATACTCTGAAAATGTCATTGACTAGGTGTTGGAAGGTGGCTGGGGCATTACAGAGCCCGAAGGGCATAACTAAATATTCAAAATGTCCAAATCGAGTTCGGAAAGCCATCTTCCATTCGTCACCTTCCCTGATTCTCACCAAATTGTAGGCACCCTGGAGATCTAGTTTGGCAAAGACCCGTGCAGACCTGAATCGTTGGAATAACTCAGGGACTAGGGGCAAGGGATAACGGTTCTTGATCGTAATTTTATTTAATTCTCGGTAGTCAATGCAAGGACGAAGGGAATGGTCCTTTTTTTCGACAAAGAAAATACCCGCTCCCGCCGGAGATGTCGGAGGTCTTATGAATCCCTTTTCCAGGCTCTCGTTCACATACAGCCGTAAGGTCTCCAACTCAGGTTCCGACAGGGGATAAATCCTGCCAAAAGGAATCTCGGCTCCAGGCAACAGCTCAACCGGACAATCATATGGCCTATGAGGTGGTAATGTGTCGGCTCCCTTCTTGTCAAACACATCCAGATATTCATGATACTCTATCAGAACGCCTTCAGGCACTGAGGATGCAGGTTGTAAGCCTAACGGGTCTGGGAGACAGGCAATGTTGGGTGCAGTATGGAGAGGAGAACACAAGGGATCCGTTTGCCCAATCAATGGAAGGATTGTGCATTTGCAGCCATGGGATGCCCAAGATCATGGGAAATGGAGGCTAGGAGATGATGTCAAAACGCATGATTTCCTGATGGTTAATCATGCTGGTAAACAGCGGACAAGTTTCATATAGTCCCGAGGCTCACAGACAGCTACCTCACATCCTGTGCGTTTTCCCGTGCACTTTGGCGCAATTCTCGCGCATGCGCAGTTTGCCGCGATTTTCGCGCATGCACAGTTTGCCGCCATTCTCGCACATGCGCAGTTTGCCGCGATTCTCGCGCATGCGGTTTGCCGCGATTCTCGCGCATGCGCAGTTTGCCGCGATTCTCGCAGTTTGCAATCGTGCCTTTACACACCCTCTAGAAGGAAGGACAGTGTCAGCACACAGAGATGATTTGAAGGTCTGATTTGTTAATAGTTAAGATACTTGAATGCATTTTTAAGATTTAGCTTCTGAGGTTATTGTCACTTGAATGATTAAAGGAAATATGCACTGAGAAATATGCAGGCTGCCATTGTTGATCTCCTTTTGCAAATGCTAGTTACCTGACTCTCTGGCCTCAATGCCTTCTGAGTCACTGACAAGCACAAGCACGATGTTAGCCAAGTCAGCATAATGTTAGAGCTACTGATATGCGTACATATTTCAGGTCAGTGACTTAGAATGTGTGGAAGCCAAAGAAATAGCATAACCACCAGGTAATTAGGATTTTCAAAAATCCTTTAACTCTGAAGTATATCAAAATCAAAAAGAATAAAACTCACCTTTACTTGGTCAACATCAGAATAGTAAGCCCATGTCAAACAATCCGTTTCATCGATGTTAGGGCCAGACCGTTTAGGAACATTCCAAGTATATACTTCTATATTACCTGTGAATAAACTATACTGTGTATATGTATGTATATATAACAAATGTAGCTGAAAAGACGATTAAAAATAAATAAATGTTGAATTGACTGACCGTTGGTGGGACTTTTTTAAATCCAGTAGAATGCAATGTTTATGAGAAAATGTAATGTGTCATTGGCCAGCAAATAGAGGGGTTATAGGGATTCACTGATCAATAATATCCCCCCAGTAACACCAATGTTCTGTCTATCCCTTCACTGAGCACCAGTGTTCCACCTTTCCCCCCAATGAGCTCCAGTACCCACTTTCTTATCCCCCCACTGAGCACCAATGCGCTCCTTTTCCCTCATTAGGGAATTTTTCCTCTCACTAACCACCAACACCGGGCATTTTTTTTCACAGATACACAGATACTGGGATTTGTTTCGGATTCCTGCTGACTGGCAATATAAGGGGCAGTATGATACCTTCTGCTGACTGCTGCACACTATACATTGAGGGGAATTTATCAAAACTGGAGCAGAAAGAATCCGGGGCAGCTGTGAATGGCAATCAATCAACATCTATCTAAATTTTCAAGGCTTAACTTGCCAAACTGAAGAAAGAAGCTGATTGGTTACTATGGGCGCGTGCTCCAGATTCTGTCTGCTCCAGTTTTAGTAAAATGTATTCTCCCATTTTTTGTTGTTACATCATATAGTTCTGAGCACTGTGCATTACATACTCCTGAGCAAAGTATTTATTGTTTCAACAGTGTCTGGTTAAGTAGTTTTCCACTGTTTAATAAAGTTTTTGTAAAAGGTAGGCCCAGACAAAGAGACTGATTTATAATGTGTTCATACAGGAATAGCTATCAAAGTGCATTACTACCATTAGAAGGAGCTAAGCGGCGTAGGAATTTTATAAATCATCTTCTTTGTCTGGGCCTTGCTTTTACAAGAAGTGTTATTAACTGCTTGAAGACCAGGTGTTTAGACCCCCTCCCTGTCCAGGCCATATTTCAGTATTCAGCGATGCGGTACTTTGACTGACATTTATTCCGTCATGCAACGCTGTACTGAAATTAATTTTATATCATTTTTGGGGGACAGATAGAGATTTATTTTGGTGGTATTTAATCACCACTGCGGTTTTAATTTTTTACTATAATTAGGAAAAAATACTGACTTTTTTTTTTACATTATGTTAGGAAACATTTATTATTACCCAGTTTTTTTGTAAAATATAAAAGACGGGGTCACGTCAGGTAAATAGACACCAAACATGTCAAGCTTTAACATTAGAATCGTCTTTTTTACACGTATATGTCCCAGATGCATGTTTGCATGCGTGTATGTATGTGTGGGGACTTTAAACATTTTTTTTGTTTTTTATTCTTTTTTATGTGTAACTTTAAATGTATATATGGGCTATTCCCGCTCATGCGCGCGTCTAAAGACGCCCGCTCAGATCTAGAGAGCTCCCGGCCGGCCGTTTTTTTTTACAACGGCCGGCCCGGAGTTGGTTAAAGTGTAATTCCACTTTCCCAGATGAATTTGGGAATATTTTCTTTTTCTGCTTTGTCTCTTTCCCATCTCTTACCCATTATAATTTACAGTGTTAACATGTACTTACCAGGTTCAGTTGGCTTTGTTTGTTTGTTTTCTGGTTTCAAGCCATGTGCATAAATTGAATATGTCCTGTGTGCTTTGTTCATAAATATTACTTTCACTTTATCACCCACATTACAATATAGGATTGGACCTGTAACAAACAAGTTGGTTTTAATTAAATGGCAGAAAACAAACTTATAGTTAGGACCAAACTTAGTTAAGGGCCTGTTCACACCTAAGCACGGCATTAAATGCATGATACTGTGTGTTTAGCGCACCTATTGCAAAGTGCACATACAGTAGCATGCATTACCTTGTGTTGCAGTGAAAAAAGTATTGCATGGACTACTTCTTTTTACCACACTGCAATGCAGGGAGTTACATTGGGGTGCCATTCACACTAGGTGTATTGGAATACTGCAGGCTAGGTTCCCTGTGTGATAGCATTTGCTAAACACACAGCATTGTGCAACACTTAGGTGTGAACAAGCCCAAAAAGTATTGTCTGGTAGAGAAAGCAAAAGACTTGGATATGTAAGGGATTCATGCATATAAAGAGTTACATAATAGATAAGGTTGGTTACAGGTCCATCCAATGTAGAGCTGAGGAGCATGGGGAATAAATATTTTCTCTGCTCCATCTCATGGCCATAATGTATTATTACAACACACTACATTTGTTTAAGGAAAAAATATATTAGGAACAATGGTTTTTGGCATTATTCACCCCAAAACAAATGTTCACAGATATTTGGAGGACATAGGGTTTATAAATAGTGTTACTTTCATGTGTTTCTTTCATGTAACTTATGTCCAGTATAACTATGCTGTGGTCACTATTGCCTAAGTTGTCTCAAATTTACACATTGAAAATGAGCTTTGTTTTGTTAGAAATCCCCAGATCTAACAGAGCATGTTTTTTTTTAGTTGGGGCTTCTACCATTTGTCCCATAGACTTATTGTGTAGTGTGTTCAGGATCAATGTCTGGATAGTTCAAGTCCCCCATAATAATCATATTATCCTGTTTCCCATCTAATTCTACTGCTTACCCAGAATTCCCAAATGCGTTTCATCTTCTGTTCTTCTCATGCGTCTTGCAAAGGTTTGATCTGTGTAGCCCCGATACACAACTTTCTTATATATAGAACCAATAGTTGTATTTGTTTGGTTTAAAAATACATCTCCATGTCTTTAGGGAAAAGTCAGAAAAGATTTTAGTTTAATTGGTGCCCTACATGAAATTGACACTCATACCAATATTTGTGAGAATGCAATAGGCTTTCCAAATTGATTCATATATCTGCAACCAATGTAGAGGCTGAAAATATCCTACCAGCCACACAACCTCTAGCCAGGTTTTGGAGTGTGGCAGTTATGTGTCTGTGAGAGCTATTTAAGACGGCATTGTGGATAGAGATGTGTAGAGGAGCCATCCATACTCTCTGTTCCAGTAAATTGGTAGGATGATAACGTATAAAAATGTTCCAATCAGAGCAGCGCAAAAGGAAATAAATAGTGTATCTAAGGTACCAGGGACGTGTGGTCAAGGGGGGGCAGGTGAGGTGGAGACAGGTGAGGCAGAGCATCACCTACCTAGTATTATGGAGGAAAATATTCGGACGAAGTGCCGTAACAACTGAATTTCGTTGATTTGCAGATTCAGCCGAATGCACATGTCTATGCATTACAATTCTCATTCTGTATGGTGTTTTCTATCACTTTCAGAGTGGGCTTTCTAGACCACATAGCATCACTATTTCCACATAGCTACTTTTATAACACTGACACACTGTGTTTTTTATACTACCTATGTGCAACTGAGTATCAGTAATTAGTAAACGTTTTTGGAGCAACAGCTCTAAAAGCCCTATGCCTCCAACAGCAGGTTGACCCTCCAAATAGTAGTGTAAGATGCACTGCATCAATCACAATTTCAAGCAGTCCTGCTCAGAGATTTCCCAGCTTGTGGGACAACAATCTCAAGCCAGGAGACTGAGAGTGATTGTCAAAGTGTTGGTTAACTCTGCAGTTAACTCTTTACACACCAAACATTCGCTGCCACTACAAGTTTTTAACACTAAACATGGACCGTTCCCAGCAAGTGCTGTGACGATTCAAAACACTTAAACAAAGCCTATGATACCATTGTCCTCTCGGACAGGGATATGACAGGTTTAGCTTTAGCCCTCATTCACACTGTAATCTGCCTGCACGTACAGCTCCAGGGAAAGACTGGTGCTGCGTGTGATTAGTATGCAGTCCCCGTCCTTCTCTACGGGACTACGCGGCCGTTCGTCCCCTACGCTTACCTCAAGTGCGTTTTCCGGCTCGGACCCAGACAGGATCCATCCTGTCAGCGTATGAGTACCTCTCCCGCACGGACGTGCAGGGTGGGAGAGCGTAGGGGGGCATACGGCCACGTAGTCCCATAGAGAAAGACGGGGGCTGCATACAAATACAACCACGCAGCCCCTGTCCTTCCCTGGAGCTGCTTGGTACGGCCCTGCACGGAGCTGTACATGCGGGCCGATTACAGTGTGAATGAGGCCATAGAGTAGCACTCTTTAGTTATGGGTTGAACACACCTGAGTTCTCTTCTAACTAGATCATTAGAACATGGAAAAAGTTCTAACTCAAACTTAGAACTCAATGAAAGTCTATGGAACAAGAACTCGTAAAATCAAATGTCCCCATTTTGAAGGCTTATATGCAAGTTATTGGCCATAAAAAGGGTATAGGGATTCGGGTACTGTCCTGGGGGACATGTATCAATGCAAAAAACACTTTAAAAAAAATACAGTTTTTAAAGGAGCAGTGATTTTAACATATAGCTTAAAGTGAGACAATAAAAATGAAAAATTCCTTTAAATATCATGTGTGGGGGATCCCCTTAAACTGCCTGTAAAGTGGCAAATCTGTACAATGTATAGAACCTGCTGCTGCAAAAAGTGACATTTCAATTGTAGGTAATTGGTTTTCCCGTAATCTTGTAAACAACTGCTTGGGGAGGCAGCCTGTATGAAGAGGCTATATTTTAGGACACTCGGAACAATGTTAGAAATAGTTTTTGCTAAATTCTGGTGTCTCTTTTGCAGACATTGGATTAAATAACAACAGGTGCTTTAAAATTGGGCCTTTAGTGTTGGCGGTGCTTTCACACTGTAACCCTTCAGAGTTATTCTTGACAAATGCAGGATTGGAACCTGCTCTAAAAATTCTAATTATATATACCTGTCACACAGGTGTGGAAAAAATGGGCCTTTGTTGTTGGTCCCTCCACACTGTCACCCCTCACAGTTACTCTTGATGGGCGCAGGAATAGGCCCTGCCTTAGAAAATTCAAATGATATGCACCTGTCACACACCTGTCTCCTTGTTGGCCTTTCAGACATGACACGAGGCTTATTATAACATTTTATTAGAGGATGTGGGATGGGAACTTGGTGCCTGGTTGCAATACTTTATTGAATGTGGTGCTTGGTACACTATAAACTGTTGTACAATGGCTTACAAAAGAACCCGCTGATGAAAAAAAAAGTTGAGTCAAGAGGGGTCTGAGTGGCTCTTATTCAAGTAAGGCTTGCGCATATAATGTTCAGATATTAAAGGGGACCTCTTCTGCAATGTTACTACTTCTTAACCACCTCCCGTCCATGGCCGTTCCTGAACGGCCGGACGGGAGTCTTATAGGAGTGGGAGGGCGTCTTAAGACGTCATTCCCCTTTCCCCCCCTTGTGCACGGCGCTCAGCGCACACACGAGTGGGAAAACTGTCAGGAATCTAAACAGCCAGTAGTAGGTGCTTTGGTGCGCCCTACCCGCCCCGCCGCCTCCGTCATCGCCGCTGCCGGTCCCGAGATCCGCTGTGCCCGTTGTGGCTGGGACCGCCACGGCGACTCTTTCAGTGGAGATCAAAGGGAGATCAGTACAAGATCTCCCTTTGGTCTCCTCTCCTGTCCCCGAATGCAGGAAGTGTATACTACATCCCTTCCGCATTCAGTGTCACTCTCCGGCAACAGATGCTGGTGAGAAGCTGCTGAAGCAGATCTCTGCTTCATCAGCTTCTCTGGGGGTCCCTAGGTGACATTAGGGGTCTTGGAGACCCCTGATATCTCCATAAAGAGGACCTGTTATGTGAATTGGCTAACACATAGGGGGATTTTTAGCCCCCTATGTGATAGCAAAAAAGTTAAGTAAAAAAAAAGTTTAAAAAAATTTAAAGCATAATAAAAATAAAGAAGTTAAAATAAATAGTCACAAATTTAAAAAAAGTAAAATAACACAAAAAATGTTTAATTTTTTTTTAGCTTCTTTTTTTATACTACGCCAATTTTGGGTGTTGTCGTTTTCTGCGATTTCAAAGGCGCACACAATTTTAAGGATTGACATGTTTGGTGTCTATTTACCCGACGTGACCCCGTCTTTTATATTTTACAAATAAATTGGGGTGATAATAAATGTTTCATAACATTTCATAGGGAAACAGGTTTGTTTTCAAAATTTAGGGTATTTTTTTGTTCTATAGTAAAAAATAAAACCCCCAGTGGTGATTAAATACTACCAAAAGAAAGCTCTATCTGTCCCCCCAAAAAATGGTATCAAATTTGTTTCGGTACAGCGTTGCATGACGGAATAAATGTCAGTCAAAGTACTGTAGCTCTGAATACTGAAAAATGGCCTAGCCAGGAAGGGGGTGTAACACTCTGGTCTTCAAGTGGTTAATGTTGCAGGAGTTCCTTTCCTTGATGTTACAAACAAGAGCCTCCTCTAGCTGACTGACAACCCCGAAGGGCCCGTTCACACCATTTGCAGTGTGTTCTGGCCCAATTCTGGCCAGAACGCACTGCATCGCATTGCGGCTGGCTCACTTTTTAGTGGGGCAGGAGGGGGCGTGAATGGCACCGTAGCCACGCCCTCCAACCGCAATGCGATCGGCCGCACATTATGTCTGCGGTCCGGTGCGATCAAAATAGTGCTTGCAGCATTTTCTGTTTCAAATATTTTATCAGGTTTTTGTCAACAACAAAAAAAATTACAAGACAGCAAACAATAAATAATAAGCAACCAAAAAGATAAGACAACTATGATTACAGGTATATAGAGAATAGTGTGCACGATATACATGAAAATATCCAAAATCGTCAGGTTTTATACATAGGGTGTTTAATCCAGCACTCCCATGCTGTGAGGTAGGATTTCAATTTACCACCTTTTAAGGCAAACATACGTTCATAGGCACAACACCAAAGCTGGCTGTTGCAATGCAGGTTCATGTTGTGCTGGAGACGGGACAGCTAGCAAGGCTCCCTGCTCTTCCCCCCTCCCCTCTCCAGTGTCTCCTCTCTGTCTTTTACTTTTAGCTGGGCTTCTTGTGGTGGGGGAGTCGGGGAGAGGACTCACCGGCAGTGTCAGACAGATGGCTCTTGCGCTGCATTCTCGTGCGAGGGGGATCCTTCCCTGTAATCTCCTCACACACGGAGCACCTGCCATCTTGGATGTCAGGTGGATGATGTGTTGGGAAAAAGTCTGTTAGTTTGCGTGGGGAGCCTCGTTTCTTCCCCCTACTTCGCATTTCTGGGTCACCCGGGTCGCAGCTCATCAATCAGAGGGGATGAGAGGTCTTTCCTGCCGTCGCTGCTATGTCGCTTTGTGGGCTCTGGAGTGGAGCTGAATCAAACAGCGGCCATCACTCTCGGCAGTTGGCCACGCCCCCCGTGCTTGCAGCATTTTGATCGCACCGGACTGCAGGCATAATGTGCCTTGCGATCCCGTGAGGCCGATCGCATTTGCAGACGAAGGGTGTGGCTATGGTGCCATTCACTTCAAAGACTCGCCACGCCCCCTCCTGCCCCACTAAAAAGTGAGCTGGCCGCAATGTGATGCAGTGCGATCTGGCCAGAATCGGGCCCGGAAAGCACGGCATCTGGTGTGAACGAGCCCTTAGAGCTATAAAGATTACAAGCCCAGATTAACAGATCTCTGGTTTTTGGAATTTGAATAAACCTGGCAAACTGAACTAAATGAAGGGCTGCATTTGTTTCAAGCTAGATATATTTACAGGGCTACTCACAAAAGGGTGAAGAGTCTGGAGAAGGCAGGAGAAGTGAACAATCTAGGACAAAATAGCTGATTTTGAAAAATTCTCCAATTCAGCTCACCTTGCAGATCAGCTACTGTATGTTGTCCTAGATTGTTTCCTTCTCCTGCCTTCTCCAAACTCTTCACCCTTTTATGAATAACCCTGTTAATATTAGGTTCAAACCTCATTATCGTCACATTGCAGGCTAACCCCACAATCTTAATTCCAGCAGAGTCTAGGTACAGCTTCCAGGATTATGTCGATCCAGGTAGCTGTTGGGCAGAGACAAACTCAAGCAGCATTTCTTAAATGTTGACTAAAGTCACCAAAGAAAAAATATCAATGGAGTATCTTAAATGAAGAAAATAATAAAAGAAAGAGAACATGATAGAGCTTTTCTCAGCAGAGCTGAGGAAAAGGCATCCAACCTTCTAGGACACTAGCACAAAACTGAGGCTTAATAGGTTGGAGGCAGAGGTATATGGGGGCTGGCTTAATGTTTTTTGTTTGGAAGTGGCGTAACCTCCTGAACGCAGCAGATGTCCAAGAATCACTATATTTCTGTGTCCCTCTTCACAAAACATAAACGGGACTGCTTCCAATCTGTTTTATGCAAAAGCATTACATATTTTATTCTTATGCATACCAAGTTTAAAAGACTAAAAATAAAATCTATGATGTGGCTTACTACTATTGTTAAAAACAAAACAAAAAAACAAACAAACATAAAAATAAGAATAGGCCATATCCCTGGAGGGTTACAAAGAATTTGATAGGAGTTGTAAAAGGTAAGTCAGGTTTTTAAAAATATAAAACGGAAAGGCAGAAGTGATGAATTGTGTTGGTGGTTTAACCCCTTTTGACCTGTCGTACACATATACATGTGAACTACCTTAATATAACAACTTCAGTTAAATTATATATTTGCCTGTTACTGATGTCAGGGTACATTGTATATTCCCAGGTTCGGTCCGGGGAATAGTTCCATTCTATTTCTTTAGCAGCGATATAATATGTGACAGTACGGAAGGCAGGTGATTCCTTAGCACTGCATTTACCACATGCATTTACCCTGTAGTGCTGTCTTATTCCGCTTGTGTAATGGTCAGTAGTCATACATTCCACATTAAAAACACCTGATAGGAAGACAAACATATTTTACTTACCACAGGTACATGCCCATGTATTGAACGGTAAAATAATGCTTCCCTAAGAATTTTCAACATCTGACCCAAAATGCAAATCGGTACAATAATGTATAATGGCAGTACAAACTGATCATGTCCTGTCCTGTAATACATTGTTTTATAAAGGCATACATGAAGGTGGTCGAACTGGAAATGTTTTCTGTCCCTAGCAGTGGCGTAACCAGAGCTACAGTCGCCCGGGGCAGAACTAAATCCCCCCCCCCCCTCCCATATCTTAGCTATAAATATTCATCCAAGTGCCCTTCTGGGGGTCTTCAGGCTTTAAGCAATGCAGGATGGCACCAGCTATAGAAGACTACAAATCCCAGGAGCTACATTATACTGTAAGGCAGAATACCATCAGCTATAGAGGACACAAATCCCAGCAATACACGATACAGAAATGCAGACGAATACCATCCCATTCATCCCCATACAGCTATCAGACCCCCCTACAGGCAGCAGACCTTCCTAGAGGCAGCAGATCCCTCTAGAGGTAAAAGGTCCTCCCTACAGGCAATAATAAAGATTTTTATGAAAAAGTAGCGTCTTATACACGGAAAAATACGGTATGTCAAACTGAAGGCCGAATTCAGCCTGCCAGCCATTTCATGTGGCTTTCGCACCTCTCCCATTTAAAAATGAAACCAGCACTGTAAACAGGTGGCGGGGTTCATAGGAATGCTGCCAAGGTCCCCAGCAAGGTTCCCGTAGCTTTCCTGTGTACAAAGCTAGCCGAATATGTCCTCCTTTCATGGATCCACAATGCCCTTACCCGCAGACTGACCAAGCGGGACTCCTGGTAAGACAGCAATGTCCTACTAAGACCCCACACAGCCCAGCATAGACCCCGCACAGCCCACCATAGACCCCACACAGCGCACCATAGACCCCACACAGCCCACCATAGAACCTGCGCAGCCCACCTAAGCATCTGCACAGCCTACCATAGACCCCACATAGCCCACCACAGACCCTCTGAGAGTCCACACGGCCCACCATAGAATCTGCAGAGCTATACATGAGAGTCCGCACAGCCCACCATAGAACCTGCAGAGCCAACCTGAGAGTCTGTACAGCCCACCATAGAACTTGCGGAGCCAACCTGAGAGTCCGCATGTAGGTAGGTGCAGTATGGCCAACGGCCACTAGATGCCCCCATGGGGCCCTGGAGATAGATGCAGCTCTGGCCTGGGAAGACTCTGTGTCCCAGGAGAGTTGATTTATAGGGGGTGCCCCACATGGGGAAAGAGAGTTCTGGGCAGAGATTACAGGAGAGCAGAAGTCTAGGACTGTCTGCAGAGTCTCCAGAGGGAGACTGTTTTCTTGAACATAGGCTGGTCCATGGGAAGGACAGGACCTGGCCTAGGACTATGTAGAGCTACAAAGATTCCCTAGTTTCCCCACAGGGGGAAACCCACCGTGCTAGGACTGACAATGGATGGGATTCCGGAGAATAGTGAAGTGCTAGAAGACTGACGATATTTGCCAGTGGGCCTATGGCCGAAGTAAGTCGTGGACTCTGGGCTGATGTACCTCTCTCTCTCTAAATTGTAACCCTATGCAACCATCAAGAACTGTGCCGTCATCCCACCCGGGGGTGGCTGCAACGTATACTTTGTTCTGTTTATACATCCAAGTAAAACCAACAAAAAGACTATCTGTGTGGACTGGTTCTTCTCCCTCCAACCTCTGAGAAGGTGGGGTTCTACAGGAGTGTGATGTTGGACTGTATCGTGGCTGTAACCATCTGAGGAGGGTAGGTGCGCAATGGGGCTATGCCTGACACAGGGTGCCCTTCATGGTGGCCTTTCTCCCTAAGGGGGAGGAAGCGCCGAAGACCGCAGAGGCGGTTGAAGCCATGAGGCCCTGTGTACGCAGTACTACACGTGTGGGAGTGTTTGCACGAGGCCAAGGCCGTGGCCCCTGACCGTGGGGTGTCTGGTTTCGAGTTGCATGCACAGGGTTACCCAGCCAACCCAAAGGAAACACGCAACACCCCAAGAGTGAACCCCGCCTACACGCACAGCCCAACATAAAACCTGCACAGCCACCTGAGAATCTGTATAGCCCACTGTAGACTCTGCATAGCCCAGCTGAGGGTCCGTACAGCCCACCATAGAACCTGCACAGCCACCTGAGAGTCAGTATAGCCCACCATAGACCCTAGCCTTTTGAAAGAAACCATAATGCTGATGTGGCAACAGATCCCTCTACAGGCAACCGATCCCCCTAGAAGCAACACATATCCATTGATAGCTGTAAAACACAAAAGAAATCAGTTCCATCACTGATAAAAATTCTTCAAAAGAACCTTAGTTAAACCATGTTCAAATTCAGGACCCCAAAAAGGCTTCAAAAGTAAAAAAAAAAAAAAAATTACAATTTATTTTTTGGTAAAGTAAAAAATGTAGTAAGGTAGAAATAAACTGCGATTCTTTCAAGCTGGCTATACACATTACAATCTAATTGTTTGATCACCTTTGGATCTACCGAAACGTTGTAGCTTGAAGGTCTGCTTATAAAATGTATTTAATTTACAGTATATCTAATCTGACAGTACCCCTTTTAAAGTCATTACATCTAAAGGAAATTGTGCAATCAGATTGTATGGTCATCTTTATCCAACCAGCAGATAGAACTTTGAGGCTCATTTTTCTTATGTTATGCATTTTCTTTTTACCTCCTGTTTTGTTGTTTGCAGGGCTCTAGGTCTCAAGCTAAAAAAGTAACTCACACTTTTCCTTCTCCTTGTTTGCTACTGTGCTCTCTCTTTATCTAAGCCGGGGGTGCCCATTAGTTAGATCGTGATCTACCAGTAGCTCTCAAAGCTGATGCTGGTAGATCACAGAGGATGTGAATGGTGGCCCCTTTATTCCATGTTGGTATATTTATTTAGCTGTGCACACATGATTACCTATCAGCCCGAGTCTGCTGAGCCAAGCTCCCTGACACCTTTCTGGTGGATACTGGTGGTTGAAGTGCTATGTATTACATCAAAGAATATTCGTTTACACACCCTGTTGCAAAATACAGCAAGGTGAGCCAGGAGAGAGAGCAGGGAGAGACACACAGGAGAGCGAGGAGAGACAGCCAGGAAAGAGCGAGGAGAGACATCCAGGAGATAAAACAATGAATGACAGCGAGGAGAGACAGCCAGGGGAGTGAGGGATTAGAGACAGCCAGGGGAGAGAGCGAGGAAAGACAGCCAGGGGAGAGAGCAAGGAGAGACAGCCAAGAGAGCGAAGAGAGACATCCAGGAGAGAAAATGAGGAATGATACCCAGGAGAGAGAGAGCGAGGAAAGACAGCAAGGAGAGAGAGAGGTGAGGCAGCCAGGAGGATGAGCAAGGAGAGACAGCCAGGAGAGAGAGAGCGAGGTGAGACAGCCAGGGGAGTGAGGGAGTAGAGACAGCCAGGGGAGAGAGCAAGGAGAGACAGCCAAGAGAGCGAAGAGAGACATCCAGGAGAGAAAATGAGGAATGATACCCAGGAGAGAGAGAGCGAGGAAAGACAGCAAGGAGAGAGAGAGGTGAGGCAGCCAGGAGGATGAGCAAGGAGAGACAGCCAGGAGAGAGAGCAAGGAGAGACAGCCAGGAGAGTGAGGAGTGACAGCGAGGAGAGTGAGGAGAGACAGCGAGGAGAGTGAGGAGGGACAGCAATGAGAGTGAGGAGAGTGAGGAGAGACAGCAAGGAGAGTGAGGAGAGACAGCAAGGAGAGTGAGGAGAGACAGCAAGGAGAGTGAGGGGAGACAGCAAGGAGAGAGCGAGGGAGGTTTTCTTTTCGTTTGTAGATCTCATGTAGCTCGTCATTTGAAAAGTAGATCTCAACACAAAAAATTGTGGGCACCCCTGATCTAAGCCATAGTGGTTTGGAATTGTTTGTCATCTACCAAATGTTTATTTGTAAAACGATGCTTTCTGAAGCCCCTAAATCACTAGCTGAATTCTATGTGCACCAAGCCATACTTTGCTAGAGTTCTAGTTATCCTGGGTGCCGGTTGCTGCAATGGAGAAGGGTTTATTTAAATGTAGACCTAATCGGAGTAGATTTCACTTGCTTTGTGAAGATCTGGACAGTGTTAAGGCAGATTACTTAATATAACTATTTGTCAATCACTTGAAGATTTGGGTAGTGCTAAAGCAACCTATGTGCACAACACAGTACTTCTCAATAATTTTATACATAAAAGAAGGAGGACTGCCATAAAAAAAAAAAATTAAATGCATAATTCCACATCTGACAGTTCAGCTATTCTTGTATTTGGCTCCCTAGGTTTCATAGCTATTCCAGCTATACACTATGAGGGTTTCACAAAGCATATCAACACTATTCTTTAGTGTACAGACAGGTGCATGGAGGAGCCCACGGATGTTCTTGAACCAAACCAGGAAGCCGTAAAGAGAGCAAGAGAGATTGTGTGGTGTGGTGGACTTCAGTTGAAGTGAACCATTGTTTTTCCTATCCAAAATAAAAAAAAATGTAAATATATACAGTATATTGTTAGCATACTTAAAGGAGAACTATGAGATGAGTGATTTCCACTCACCTCATAGTTCTAAGCCGACCTGTGACAATGAGACTGTCACAGGTCGGCTCAATAGATCGGGAGGTGAGCGAACACATACCGGGTTCCCTCACCTCTCGATCCTGTCACGGCTCTCTGCCGTGACAGGGGGAGGGGCTGGATTCCCCTCTCCCCGCTCCGATCTGCCAGCGCTGACTGGCGGAACGGACGGGGGAGGGGGCGGGTACAGCTGGCTCTGCCTCTAGATAGGCAGAGCCAGCTGTCACTCACGCAGCTGGGCGGATCCCGTCCTCTAAGTCGGGATCCGCTCCAGGTGCGGCGTCTCAGTATACCGCGAGCTGTAGCTCGCGGTATACTGAGCTTAGGGTAACGGGAGGACGCTAGTTTGTGTCCTCCCGTTACCCTAAGGAGAACTATGGGGAAAAACACTGACCCCATAGTTCTCCTTTAAATGTAGGAAAGAATAGGATAAGATCTAAACCAGAGAGTCTAAACTTACAATGCATATTATTAGACGCCACAAAATCAGGATAGTTCACGTTGACGGATTCTGGTTTGCCTGCAAATCGATTAATGTTGTCTTGCAGGTACCAGCTTTTGTTCTCATCAAATACAGTAGGCATCATCACAAAATCGTAATCTGCACCTGTCTGCAAAAGGTAGAAGAAGTTTATCCCTGTCCTCGGATTCAAGGAAAGGAGTAGTACTCTTTCTAATTCAGCAAAGAGCCATATAGAATTTAGTTTAGACACCATAATTGTGAGATCCCTTTGAAGTCTTGAATCACATGTGATACACCTGTGCAGAAGTATAACACTTAGGCAATTGCTCTGACAAATACTGATATTTTCCATTTTGGCAGCTGATGGAAGTGAAACTAGCTTTCTGTATATTTTAGCAGCAATGATTCCACGTGGGATTATCTGCCACTGTCTCTGACAAAGTCTAATTAAGGAATTTTACCTCATCTGTTGCATTTTTCTAATGTAAATTAATCCTGCAAATCCAGATTAGACAAGAAGGCCTCATTACGCCTCCGTAGGTTGTGAGATCTGCCATTGGAGTTGATGCAGATAAAAAATACTGGTCCATTAAAACTGAAGCATCAATTTGCTTAGATGTGCCCTAAACAAAGAAGGAGAAGTATTTACCTGATTGGTGCTAGTCAATTTATTACACACTAATAGCGGACCAACAAGGCCAGAGTTGGTGTCTTTGACTGGATCCACTGATGAGTAATAGAGCCATGCTATGCAGTTCAGATCTTCACTGGTGGGAGCCACACTGTCTGGTACTTTCCACTGATATGTCACAGTGTCTCCTGGAGCCACGTGGGAAGGACGGGATTGACCATTCTGACCAGTAGTGATAAAACCTGTTAGAAAACAATAATATATTTTCTTTATATTGTTTTGCACAGTGTTATAAAATTAACTTTAATACAACTACAACTGTTTATGTTACACAAGAATGACACTTTTGTGTTAGTGTTATAGATGTGTCACCATAAAAAAAAAAAAAATAGAATACCCTATAACTCAACTTTCAATCAGTTTTTGTTCTGAATACTGCAGAAATGATAAAATCTAGTAGCTATGGTAGCCATACACTGTATGAATTTTGGCCGGTTCTTAATGAACCAGCCAAATTCGGAGCCAAAAAGGTGCTGGCTCACATTCACTGACCGAGACATTCCACATACCCCGGCCTTTTTCCTTCTGCACCACAATACAATCCTGAAAAAGGGGTACCTGAGATCAGTGTTACCACATCTGCTCAATGCAGCAAAAGCATGCATTCCTGTACTCTGGCGAGATACCAGACCGCCTACAGTGAAAATGTGGCTAAGCAAAGTTAATGAAATCTGGCGAATGGAGGACTTGACAGCTTCGACCCCTGAATTGCAAACCTCCTTTAATATAATATGGTTCTATTAGATGGGATTTCTATGCTCTCCGGAATATCCGACACTTATAGCCTCGGACTCAGCCGTGGACCCTCAGGTGCACTAAGTAATCCTGACCTGGTGGCCCACTGGGAAAGACCTCTCTCTCTATCTTTCATTCTTCCTCCTCTGTTTTCTGTCATCTACTGTATGTTCCTGAACTTATATGTCCAGATATATGTATGTTTTTGAATGCTATAATACCTCAATGATATAAATAACTCAGATGCCCCACGAACTAGGGTAGACAGATACTTCCCTACGAGATTAAATGCTCCAGCTACTGGTAACCGTTATGCGTAGCTGGGCACAGGTATCCCCATGAGGGCCCTGTGATTAGGTGACCGTGAACCAAGCACTTTATGCCCCTGACGACAATATTGCCTCAGAAGGTATACAATGTCTATGGCAGTGGCGTAACAATCGCCATAGCGACCCAGGCGGCCGCTGGGTCGCTATGGCACAGGGCTGCCTGAGTCGCTATGGCATGTGGGGGTGCTGGCTGTCACAGACACAGATGAGGGCGGTGTTCGGAATGGAGGAGGCGGGGCCCACGATCGCTCACCGGCCTGTCATTGTTGGCCGCAGCACCATCATCACTCCAGCCCGCCGCCTCTCTCTTCAGAAAGCTGACTTTACTGATCTCCCTGTCACTGAAGAACCCTCGGCGTCATCAGGAGACTCCTCTGACATGTCCAAGGGCAGACCCGCCCACCATAACCTGTCAGCAACTGAAGAATTCACCGTTCTGCCTCCTCACCATCCGCAACCACCAGCACACCTACTGTGAACCACTGTACAACAGACTGACATCCCTCCCAGGAACAGACCGCAACCAGGAGTTTTGAAATTTGGAAACAACTGACTCCACACCTCGCCGATGAATTTGCAACACTTCTTACCTAATGGTAAGATTCTACATTTTTATTGATCTGCATTATACAATAACCTCATCATTGTACCACACATTTATGTTTTCTGGGACGAATCGGAACAACCATTGAACGTACCACTCGGACCCTGGAACTATAACTGGTCTAACATAGTAAGTTACCTTCAGCAGTATCACCAGTTTTGTAGACAGCACCTTCCATATCTTTTCTATGGTTCACTCCGTGGACTTGAATGCTGTATGGATGGCTTGCATTATTCTTAAATATAACCTCAATAGTATCTCCTACCTGTGCTCGAATGACGGGTCCTAATAATTAAGAGAATAATAGACAATTTATAATATGTACAAAAAAATTAAAACACGTACCTCATATACTTCAAACTAAAAAGAATCGAAAACTGTCCACATGCATCCTGGTCTTCATCAAAGATAGGTTCCATTCACTTCTGCGCATTGTCCACACATCAAAAAACACCCCTGCCATATTTTTTTTCCCAGGGGGGAGTTAGGATTGTTTTCTGATCTGTATTTGCATTGAGGTGTCATTGACAATGAATGGCAATGTACTACAACACATATCTACAAGACCTGATTGTACTGAGCAAAAACGCATGGAAGTGACCACCTTAAACTGCTTGTATATGAGGCACCCCTGACCTCTCCCCTTAAAGGAGAACTATGGGGTCAGTGTTTTTCCCCATAGTTCTCCTTAGAACACAAACTGGAGGACACAAACTAGCGTCCTCCCGTTACCCTAAGCTCAGTATACCACGAGCTACAGCTCGTGGTATCTGTTCGCTCACCTCCCGATCTACTGAGCCGACCTGTGACAGTCTCATTGTCACAGGTCGGCTAGAACTATGGGGTGAGTGGAAATCACTCATCTCATAGTTCTCCTTTAATCATTATTTACTCATATTTCATCGGGGATACAAAATTGTTTTAAAAGAATCACCACACCTGCCCAGGTATATTATTTTTGTACAAATTTTTTAATTGTTTCCTGCAGCATCTTTTAAGTTTGGTACAGATTGACATATAGCTGCACCATTTAGTTTGGTCATACTGTGCAAATTTGGGCTTTTACTCTTTTAGATCAATTTTGAAGACAGTGAATGCGACTTTCAATTACTGTAATTTAAAACATATGCACCTGAAAAATTTACCTGCAATGAATGTTTGCTGAATGTCAGATTCATTCATTTATAAGTATGCCCCTTTGCCATGAGCCCATTTATTAACTAATACTTATTCACTTATTCATTTATATTTGTCCCAGGCTGAAATGAAAACCACACCGCCTCATTTTTCTATATCCTTGGCCTGTTCACAAAATTGGGATCTAATTGGACCCCACGGTATCTACTTTTACCCTTGAGATCAGTTCCTACCCCAACACCATAGTTAGATAGATGGCCAATGCATTTTAACAGAACTCAATGGAGTTGATTATGATTGGAAGTCTGTTCACTTAAAGGGGACCTTTACTCCCTTTGACAAAAAACACATAATCATGCCGCTCTGCATGCTGACATGAAATCATCTTACATTCATTAGTTAAACAAACATATTTTTTTTACTTACAATTTTTCTTTGGCACAAATCATGTTATCTGTGCCAAAGCGTTGCATCCTGGGAAGGTTACATCAGCAGAGCATTGCTAGGAAATCTCATCTGCAATTTCATGAAATCTCAGGGAAAGACATTTTCCTCCCCTGACATGATGTGCATGGTCACATGTCAAGTCACATGTGCCAAAGTTCCAGGAAGTAAAGAAAGATATAGCAATCGGCCCTTAGAAAAAATGGCCACTGTGAGAAGTATTGGGATCAAAAGAAAAACAAGGTATGCAAAGACTAAAAATCCTGCAATTATCTAGAAGTATGTGTTTGTAGATCATCAGTACTAAACATTTCTAAAGTTGTGTTTGTTGTTATTTTGAAGATATGGTTATAGTTCCTCTTTAAAGGAGAACTATGAGGTGACAATGAGACTGTCACAGGTCGGCTCAGTAGATCGGGAGGTGAGCAAACACATACCGGCGTTCGCTCACTTCTCGATCCTGTCACGGCTCTCTGCTGGATTCCCCCCTCCCTGCTCCGATCCTCCAGCGCTGACTGGCGGAAGGGGGAGGGGGCAGGTACAGCTGGCTCTGCCTCTAGATAGGCAGAGCCAGCTGTCAGTCACACAGCTGGGCGGATCCAGACATAATTGTCGGGATCGGCTTCCGCTGCGGCGTCTCAGTATACCGCGAACTGCATACTCAGTATACTCAGTATACCGCGAGCTGCTCACGGTATACTGAGCTTAGGGTGACGGGAGGATGCTAGTTTGTGTCCTCCCGTTACCCTAAGGAGAACTATGGGGAAAAGCCCTAACCCCATAGTTCTCCTTTTAGGGCCTGTTCACATGATATCAGGTCCTGATCAGGTGCGGATCTGCAGACTGATGCAGTGCATTTTTGCCGCGTTTTTGATGCGTTCAAGTAAAAAAAAAAATATATTTTTTTTTTTGCTGCATCAGCGTTTCCTGACCGTTTCCGGGCCTGACAAAATGTGACATGCAGTATTTGACATGCAGTCGTAAGCTGAACGGACTGCGCACGTGAGAACTGGAGCCCATAAAACACATAGGGATACATTGGGATGCATTTTGAGTGCAGCAGCGTACGGAGCCGGTCAGCACACAAAACGGACGTCGTGTGAACAGGCCCTAAGGGATTTTTCACTATGCAGGGGAATTTTCCATTAGCTCAGTGAATGGGGTGAAGCTCTGCTGACTTCCATCATTTTAATCATGTTCATTCAAAGTATGTTTTCTGAATTTTTCTTGCAGGTGGATTTCTTTTGTAAAGTAAATTCTCACTACATTCACTAAGCTAAGGAAAAATTCCCTGGCAAAGTTAAAATTCAGTTTGCAAAGTGAACATGCTTTTTGCAAATCAACCCCATCAATACATTCAATTTTACAAGGATATTCATAGATGATATTCATAGCCTAAGTACTGCATGAGATAATCAGGTAGTGATAAGTGCATACTAGAGTCAGAAGGTCTTGTTGCTTGCCCAGGTTTTTCCAAAATGTTGGAAAATGAATGTGGCCTCTGAGAAATCATAATATTATCCGCACAGATTAAGGAATACTTCTTTTTTATATGGACACACACTAGAATGCTCACCATTAGGCCGGCTTCACACCCAGGCGGCACCGATTTTGTGCTTTTGTATGCGCGTGATCAGCATGTGGTCATTTGCGAGTTTATGCGCGTTGTGCACATTTTGATGAGGGTTTGAACGTGTGTAAATGAAGACGAGCGTTTTGACTGGCAGCTTATGAAACATTACAGACAATGGATGAACGCCCATTTAAATGCTCACAACAACTGTTCGACATGCTTCTGCCGCGCGTTTTTGGACGTTTCCATTGAAGTCTATGGGGCAAAACCGCACTCTTAACTGCCCAAAGAAGCTCATGTACCTTTTCAGGAGTTTGGCGATTTCCAGATGGCGTTTTTCTGCTCAGGTGTAATCAGGAGCCATTGAAAATCATGGGATTTTTTGTGTTGGGCATTTAAAAGTGCTTTTTCAACTGCTCAAAAACGCCTAGGTGTGAGCCAGGCCTTAGGAAGAAAAATTGCAGTCATCAAAGGACGCATATTGTCACAGTTGTCATAAATAATGTATATTTTGTCTGTGAGGAGAGAACCATAGCATGCTGGGTGACAGGGCCGGATTCCCGGCAAGGCCACCGAGGTCCAGCCTCGGGGCGGCACTGAGCAGAGGGGCGGCACAGGTTTGAATCACCCGACACCCGGAACATAGAGTTCCGGGCGCTGGGCGGTAATTTACTTTCTACATTTAGCCCTGCTTTGCACAAGCAGAGCTAAATGTAGAATAGGAGAAATTACTTGTTTCTTTACAAGTGTTCTCGTGATGTCGCCGAGAACACTTGTAATCAGAGTGCCGGTCCGTGATTAGTCACTCCCCAAAGAGGAGAGAGGTATGATGTGCAAGAAGGGAGAAGGCCGTGCTAGAGAATTGACTCTTGCTGGAGTAGGCGATTTTTTTTTACTACGTTCAAAGGTACATTGTGAGTGAATAAAATGTAACCAGTTAAAGGAGAACTATGGGGTTCTATCTTTTCTTTATCATTGCATTCCTTAGGCTAAATAAGTAAATTGTGCAATTTACTCCTATTAGCCAAAATGCACCCTAAGCCTGTAAACCCTTCTTTAGATGGTGGGCGGGGCTAAGAGCCGCAATGAGGAGAGATCCCGACAATGCTGCCGGAATCCTCCCCACTGATCTTCGTCACTGTGACTGGCAGTGATTCTTGAGAGCTGCTGCGCGTCCACGAATATATGGACATGCGCAGCAGCTCTGTGCACGCAGCTCTCTCCTTACCTGCACGTCCCCGTCCTCTGTGCCAGCCTTCCAGACACGCTGCTGTGTAGCCCTTGATCCCCTCCCTCCTCCTCTCCATCTGCCCCGCCTACTTCACGTGTAGTGTGCAGTGCATTGAGAAGATCTTGTCCCGGGTCAGAAGCTCTCTCTTCATAATTTATTTTGTAGTAAATGCTGAAGAGAGAGCCCTCTTTCCCCTCTCTCATCAGCAATCCCCAGTGGTTTTAGTATGTCAGTGTCACACAGGGCAGGGAGAGAGAGAGAGAGAGAGAGAGAGGGGAAGGAGCCCTTTCTCTCCATCATTTATCACATATGGGCAAGTCCATATATGATGAATGATGTCACTGGGGATCCCAGCTGACCTGATGCTTGCCAGTCTGCAAGGATCCCCAGTGACATCATTCACCATATATGGACTTGCCCATTTGTAGTAAATGCTGAAGAGAGAGCCCTCTTTCCCCTCTCTCATCAGCGATCCCCAGTGGTTTTAGTATGTCAGTGCCACACAGGGCATGGAGAGAGAGAGAGAGAGAGGGGAAGGAGCCCTTTCTCTCTCTCTTCATCGTTTATCACATATGGGCAAGTCCATATATGGTGAATGATGTCACTGGGGATCCCTGCTGATCGGGTGCTTACCAGTCTGCAGGGATCCCCAGTGACATCATTCACCATATATGGACTTGCCCATATGTGGTAAATGCTGAAGAGAAAGCCCTCTTTTCCCTCTCTCATCAGCGATCCCCAGTGATCTGATTGATGCCAGCGTCACACAGGGCAGGAAGAGAGAGAGAGAGAGAGAGAGGGAGAGATAGAGGGGGGAAGGAGCCCTTTCTCTCTCTCTCTTCATCATTTACCACATATGGACAAGTCCATATATGATAAATGATGTCACTGGGGATCCCT